TAAGAGATGAGTAGGGATCGTTCACTTTTCAAAAGAGAACAATGGATTTCCAGGAATTTCTATTGTTCTTTTCTTGTTGAACCCAATTGAAATAAATTCAAATAAATTGCGTTCAATACAAACTCTCTACCTTCATATTCATTTCTGAATGAGTATCAACAGATGATAATCTCTTTTCAAAGTACATAAAATATTTCAAGGAAATATGCTCAATAATCTAATCAATAGTCTTGCTAGTATCATACCCAAAAAATGATATGATATCATAAATGCAGCTTGCGGCTATCTCAACATATGCTCACTCACTTAGTTTATCGAAAAGTCATAAACACTGAGCATCAATTCTACTTCAAACAAGTTCATGAGATGTCAATTGATGAAAAACAAAACGGAAGAAAAGATGAAGAAAAAAAAATCTGTAAGAAACATTTTCTTTTATGAAGGCATGAAAAAGCTTATCTTTTTGCAATTATGAGATAAAGGAAAGAATAAATATTTCTTCTGGCGTTTCACATTTCCATATATGATCTTTAGAAAATTCCATGAACCTTTTACATCCTGTATAGACATATAATGAAGCTTTCCTATTTTATTTTTTTTCCGATTTATCAGAATTGGTTATTTGATTGTTTTCTGTTTCTCGATAACTTTCATATTATTAAAGGGCTGTATGTTAAGATAACGCCAAGGCAAAAATGATGATGATGAGGCATGAGCATGAGGAATAATCAAGGAAAATTGATTGTGTAATAAAATGAAAAGGCGAAGAAATTGAAGTGATGGCAAGTTAATTGAGTACTTTTAGGATGCAGTAGACGCATCGTGTATACAGTTAAAAAAAAATCTTAAAGCCAAACTTTTTCAGATTTTTTCAACAGACATTCGAAATCGATTTAATTCTATTTTTATTTGATCAATGATTGTCAAAAAAAATAAGAATTCAGAAGTCAAAGAAGACAAATGACGCAGCATTTACACATTTTCTAAAGAACAATAACTTTTCATTCATATTTATATTCCAATATTTTCTATCTTTCCAAACAGCCTCCTACACTTCGATTCCATTAAAGTGAAAAATACTCTCATACACAAAAGGGAAACGTAATCTCGAGGCATCTTTTCGCATTTACTGTAGTATTTTCGTAAGCAATACGAATGAAACCATAAAGTGCACCATCATTCTATACTTACTGCGTATTTCCTTCATTGATTTTCCTCCCTCGTGATGATTGCCTTTTTTTTGTGGGTAAGAGTGTATTTTTATTGGATCAAAACAGAAACTTTTTTTGTACATTTTTCATGATGATATTACTTCTCCTAGACTCATTAAAACTTCCTACGTACATAATAAAAAAAAAATCCTATGTATTGGATGACAAGAACATTTAAGTATAAAAGCAAAGCAATTGAGTCAATACCTTACGAAAACCACAATAAAAAGTTGATATCGAAATTGGAATGAATATAGATCGAAAATGTGTTTTGCTGAAAGGAACCAAAACATTTATTAATGCTTACTAAATATAATGAAGATATTTCTCATGTCTGCTGTGTATTTTTTTCCCTCTTCATGTTTCGTTCGAGATGTGCTCTGATCCTCATGAATAAATTTCATTTTTATATTTTTTTCTCGTTGTCAACACTTTTTTTTTGCTGTCAATACAAGGAAAAAGTTGGTTTTTATGTATTTTTTGCCATGTATATTTTACGATTATGGAATCATTATCGCCCTATGACAACCACTTTATCGATGATAAAGTGCCAGCGTTTTATCTCCTCTCATGTTGTTCTGCTGCTCCTGTAAAAATAATTTTTTTTCGAGGTGTGCGAAGGATTAATAGAATATGTTAACGTATACTATAGAGCTTTAATAACCGAATAAAAAAGATAAACTCGTATATCATAGAACATGATATGGTGCTATAATGTAATGAAAATTCAGCAACTTTGTATATGTGCAATACACAACTGTTTCGTCCTTCTTTGCTTTTCTCTATACTTCCTTCTGTTCCGCAATGTTGTTTATCGCATTTTGTTATAACATCGTCGTCGCTATTGTCGTTGGGTTGCGAGACAATATGAAATTTTTCTTTCTTCTACTTCTCATTTTTTTTTTCATATTTCATTTGTAATATTTTTCGCATACAAAATCGCATAAAGTTTAGGGTGAGCTGATAGGATGCTTTAGTGCTTTAAATGGTTTTCATATTTTTCATCAAAAGTTCTTTCAGTTTCTATAGAAATATTAGATTTTTTTGATCAAGCAGATATCTAAGAAGTTTTCGTATTCATCCATTGTGTGCATAAGAATTCAACATCCACTGGCATACCCTGAACTATAATACAGAAAAAGTAGCTTGTATGAATATAAAAAGAAGAAAATCCAATAAATTATCGCCCCCAAAAATGCTTAAATTTATCATTCTGGCTAGACTGTCGATAAAGAAAATTGTTTATAGAAATAAAGGATATACACAAAATAAAAGAAAATTGAGGGCACGGCTAAAGTGGTTAAAAGGGTGAGAATAATTTTTAATTATTTATTCAAAAAAATTTTTTTTTTATTTTTATGCTCATAAATTATAAAGCTACTCGTTTTTTGTATTTAATTTAACATGTCTTTGATTTATTGGCTCTGCTTTTAATATTTACAATAAATTATTAATGTTATTAAAATATTTAAAAAAATATGATTTTAGAAAATTTTCTTCCCGAGCGACATAATTGATCTGCTTGACGTTTCTTCAAGTCCATACCCATACGACACAAAGTAAGCAAATGATTTGAAATGAAACTCGTACGAAGTATAGGTAAGCACCAGTTCTCTGTTTGGAATGGTTTCTCGATTAGATCTTAAGGATGACTTTACTCTTGAGTATCTCCAGAATTTTAACCTATGATAAACTAGAAGTATATTCAAGAAACCAGGTTTTTTATGGCTTCCTAGTGTGTTTCAGTCACTTGAGATATGAATTCTGTGTAGCAGTATTTGCCTGCTTTGTGTCGCTCAGGCTGTTTTTCCTGTAAAAAAACTCTACGATGTGAGAAATAATGGAAATAATAAATTAATATTTAATAAGTGATAAAAGGAGCAACAATTGTTACTAGGTAAAGAACACAATCACGTTCTATGTCTAGGTTTTTTTGGGGCTTTACGACAAATGCTTTTGTGGCTGAATTTTAATTCTTTTTCAATTTTAAAAATAAATGGCTCTAATTATTCTTATAAAATGTCTTAAAATTGTCAATTAGTGATATGTAAACAAAATAAACATTTTTCACTTCCGTTAAATTTACACCGAACAAATTGAGAGTCAAATTTCAGCACACATGATGAAATATGAGATTTATAACCATCTATGATGCAAAATGAGGGAAATGTAAATGTCAATTTGTGAATTAAATATGGCAGTAAAAATGTTATGCCTCATTTTTCCGCATCCCATGAGTGAGTGAGCGGGTGTGGAAAAATAACGAAATGAATGAAGGAGTACCATAATAAATAACTCATAAATTTGTAATCATCCATAAACACATCATTTTTATGCTTTTCACATACACGCGCGAAGGTGTGAAAATAAATGTGAGTTTCTTCACTTTCATTCCATCGCGCGCACCATTCATACCTTAACGTTTCTTAAAACCGATTTGACGTGAATAAAGCTGTATCATATTTTTCCTACATATTCCTTTTCTAAGAGTTACTCACATTTTCGTCTTATTTTTTTTCCTCACTACTGACTTACTTACAATCGTACTGAGCTTCCTTTTTCAGTAGTATATGAAACGGAAAATAGAAGGCATTTGATATGGCATTTAAGGGAAGAAAAAAATACGATATCATCGGAATGTAGATGGATATTATTGAAATATAAATAAGTAGATTTAGATCTTATTGAATATTTCCAACGATGTTGATTTTCCAATTTATCGGAATTGGATGGAGGAAAAAGGTAAAATAAAATAATTCAGAATAAAGTAGTTTAATCCTATTGTATTTGATGAACATAAATTGCTATTTGGAGCATTTGATGGATTTTTTTCCGTATCTTATAAAACATAGGATAAGAAAAAAGTAATAACTGACTTAGCTTTTTCTGACTCTTAGGGACCGATTGTTTGGGTCATTGATGCTACTGATAGAGCATATCGAAAAGATGAGAAGAGAAGGAGAATTGATGGTGCTTTCAATAATTTTTCAATGAAAATTTCAAATTTGAAGAACATCCATGAAGAAGATATGATCTGAGATTTTATGACAATTTAAGCAATTAAAGATTCATATCTCTAATCTGATGATCTTAAGACAGAAAGAACTGTCTGAAAACTTTTAATAACTAGTCTGACTTTTAATCCTTAATTGTAGTTGATTCCATTTCAATAGTAAAAAGACTTGACCAATAAAAAAAAAGGAATACAAAACTTTTTAATGAAATATCTAGAAATTTCACTTCCATTGAGTAATTTCTCCCATCCTTGAATCCAAAAATAGACAGATGAACTTTAATATGAAAAATTATGAACAATGTTACGGAAATGTATATGTAGCATCAAGTAGGTATTTTTGCTAAAGTAATATGACAAAGTTATTAATTATTTTTACAACAATAAGTAAAATTATGTGATATGAAGTTCTATGGCAACATAATGAAGGCTTAATTAATTAATTAAGTTATATACCAAGGTGATAATTTCAACACACAATATAAAGGTAAAGTTTCACAACAGCCCATGAATAAAATTTTCTGGTCTGTTTTTTCTATTATTTTCGTTCGTCTCGTGGATAAACGAATTTTGTTTTTCCTTGAATGCTTCGACTTAGAGAATGCTCAATAAATAATTCTACTTAATAACATTAATTCTTTATGGAATCTCTATGGTTAGTGATATCCTTCATCTTGTTTTCTTTCAGATTTTTTTTTGTGCGTATATTTATAAATTTTATGCATGTGTGTGTATTTATGTGCGCATTTATTTCTACAAATTTTTTTATATTTTTATTAAAGTTCAGCTCGGTCAATGCTGCGTGGATGGAAATTAAACTGTTTAGAATTTTCATTAACATGCCCTCCAGAATATTCCTTATAACGTCGATTTACTTCATCTATTAATGGCTGCTCAATTTTTGTATTTCCACCTGATCGAGATCTTGAGTTTCTGTCAAGAGATTTCCGTTTTGATCTACTGACACGGATTTGTGGCTCATCATTATTGACAAGAAAGTTTTGTTCATATGTTGATATTTTTCTTGTCGGAGATTTACGAACGACATTTTTGATGAATGATTGACTGACTGTTGTACCACGTAAAAAATCATTTTCGATATCGTCTTCGGTATGTTTTTTGGGTTTGAGAAAAACATCAGTTCGAGATTTTGCTTGTAATAAACTATCAGACATTCGGTTGCGTGCCGATGTCTGATTGTTTTGCTTATTTATTGCCTTTGTGGGTATTCTCGATGGTTGATGAGGTGGAACGAAGGGTGGAAGCACTTTATAGTTCTTAACAACATAAGATTGTGGAAACTTTGTGGAAGGGCTCTTTTGTATTTCGTCTTCTAAGTTCAATGAATCTAGAGCACTAGACTCATTTTCATCGCCCGTAAAAATTGTGGTTTGGGTTGTGGCAGATGCAGTGTTTGTTGATGATGATGGAATCTCAGGTGCTTTACCTTTAGGACGATGTCGTATAATATGTTTTATTGGCTCATTTGTAAGCGTTCCAGTGGAAATTTTCTTACTCGGTGGAGGTGGTGGAAGTATTATTTTATGAATAGATGCCTTTTTATGCGAACTTGATGTTGACTTTGAACTTTCATATGGTTGTTCAGCTTCTTTCATTTGTCTTTGATGGGCAAGTGTTTCAAACGCATGGATTACACTACCTACATGTGTAGTCACATCTGGTATACCGAGATGTGTTGGCGACGGTCCACCGGTAAATAAATCACGTTGTTGTCTTACCAAAACCAAATTGGCATCATGATGTAGAGGATAAATTGATGCATAATGACTCGATAAATGGCGATTTACATCCACTGTCGACTGCACAATATTTTTGAGAGTAATTAAGTGAAAATAATTTTCACGATAAGAACATAAGAAAATTTTTGTACAGAAGTTGAAAGAAAAGAAAAGAACAAAAGAGCATTAAAATAATTACAAAAGAATAAAAATTAAAACAATTTATAATATAATTAATTGCTGAGAAAGAAGTAAAAACCAGTGCAATTTGCAATTTTTCAAGTGAATTATTTTCACATTATTATTTTTTTTGCATTTTTATTTAATCTCAAAAAAACTTTTTTTGTTAGTCTTTTGCTCACTTTCATTTATGAAACATTAAATATATTTAATTTAATAATCATTTTCATTATTTGTTCTTGTGTCTATGCATTTAACGTCTAGATAGATTTTTTTTTCTTTTTTGTGTATAAATTTTTTCTTTATTCTTATGAACGATCAAAAACAAAAATAATGATGAAATTTTCTATGAACTTGCTCTTCAATATTCATTAAATGTAATGGAAAATCGAATGAATCCTTTTGCAACTGGAGATGTTTTAAGGCTTGGACTTTCTTCGATTGAAGTAAGGATTAGAATTATATTTTTTTTGGCATAACAAAATTAATCAAATAGAAATCCGGCATAAAGCTGGCATGACTCTTGCATGATGCTGGCTTCGATTTAAATCCAGCATCATGCTAAAGTCATACGAACTTGGTGCCGGATTTCTGATCGATTCACCGACTTGTGTCATTTTGGTACACAGCTTTAATGCTAGATTAAATGGCTAATGAGTAACAGACATAAAAATTTATAAGTTATTAAAAAACCTGTTGAAACTGACATTTTCGTACAGAATGGATTGTCCAAGCCTTGAATCATCTTCAATGTTTCCAATAAAAATTTTCATTCTCCAATTTTTATTTCTCTTATGCAAAATTCAAATGTTTTAAAAGTTTTAAGTATTTTATAACAAAGTTTGTTTCAAGTACCCAATTTATTTTGCTATGGTTTAATGGCCCTAAATTTAAATAAATTTAAGACTACTTAAAAATAGTTTCACTATAAGACTCTCGACTCATGACTTGAAAGGAACATTTCCATTGTGCGTTTTTCTTTTTATTGGATTTTGCACAAATGAATGAGAAATAAGACCTTTCTATTCTTATCGGCAGTATCAAATTTTTTGCGGGAGCATTAAGAAATTTGCCATTGGAGATATCATGAAGAAGTTTTTATTATTATTTTTATCCGATTTCGGACTCAGAAAAGTAAAAATAAATGAGCTTATATCTTGAAGGACAGAACAAATGTAGGTCATTTTGGAAAAAGGAAGAAATAAAATTTTACCAAATATGCTTTTTTGGACGAGAAACTTTTTATTTTTATAAAAACGTTTGAATTGGTTCCAAAAAAATTTTTTTATTCCTCACAATGAAACTTTTTGTGAACGTCATTTGAAGCGGGGATAAAAAGTAAGAAAAATAACTATCAACAATGGATTGGCAATAAGTGGTAATAACAACAGACAGAATGTGAAAGAAGAAATGTCCGAATGGCTCCCGAAAAATTGCCTGCTTGCAATACTTTGCTGTATCCCTATATTCACTCTGTTTGATGATTTTATTTTTGTTTGTTCAGCTTATAAGCATTCTGTTATACCGATGTGGTATATTTATGATGATAAGAAAATAACAAAACAAAAATTTGATTCTATGTTCTATATTTATGTATGACTTTTCTGTTTTTCGAGGAAAAATGGCACAAATATTTTAATATATCTATATAATATGAGACAGAGGAAAGAGGAGCGAGAACAATTTCACAATCATCTAATATGTCAACAAATCAATGCATTTATATACATTTATGTGGGATTATTATATTATTTGATGAGTATGCGGTCTATTTTATGATGGTTCCTTATTAATCTTATAATTTCCTATTATGATTACAATATGCATGAATTTATTTTAAAGTTGAAATAAATTAAAATCGATAAATTTTGTAACGGTCCACTTTTACGTTTGTACACTTTTCATCGAAAATTCGCATTTTTTAAAAATTTCTATAAAATTTTATAATACTTTTTATTGAGCAATTAGAGCATTTGTTTTAGAAAATTTTACTATATCTAATTTAATATTTAATCTATGATTGAAGAAGGCTTTCTCTAATTTCTTTTTAAGATAGAATTTTTAATCCTAGCAAATGAAGCTAATGTGAACATTTTAAAATTTTTGAAATTGCTTTAAAAATGTGAAAAATGGCTGCATAAGTCAAAAATAAGAATTTAACCTAAAATTGTGTTCATGTGCAAAAAAAATAGTCAGAACTTTTCTTATGACTCATCATGACAGATAGGAATAGGAGATCTATAGCTGCAATAGCTTGTGCTACACAAATGAAGAAAACTCTTATGGAAGACAGTATAAAGCTGTTTGTATGTTAATACAAAGAAATTTTTAATTATACAAGTTGGTCTTATCTCTTAATTGTTAATAGACGTCATTTTGAAGACCCATAATAGATTTATAAAAAAAACTTTATTTAAAACTTGATAATTTATAAGCTATGATGGATGTAGCAAGATGCTAGTTTACGGATAGCAGTCTCAAAAATCCTTAAAAGCAGAGTTGCGAAACAGGCCACCTGTGACAGGTGAGAACCGTTCAATTCCTTGATAATTTGTATGGTTTTGTTAGAAAAACCTTATAAATTATCAAGGAATTGATGGGTTCTCACCTGTCTCAGGTGCCTGTTTCGCAACTCTGCTTAAAAGTCCACATCAACTCCACTTGATTCATAACAAATTTTAATTTTAAACACAAAAACACCGTTAGAATTTTTCATTATCAATTTTAATTTGCTACAACTCTGTAGTGATTCGAATTCCTTATTCGTCTAGATTTTCACAATACCATTAAGTACTTTCAAGTGTTATATGAAATCTAATGTAAATCTGTACAAATTCTCTCAATCTCATGTAAATACTTCCAGTTTAATAGATATTATTTACAAAATGTTTTATTTGTATGTGAAATGTATAGAGATGTTCCATTAAATTATAGAAAACAAAAAAAGACGGCAAGAGTGGATGATGAAGAATACAACAAAAAAGAAGAGAATTTAATTTTATTTATTTTGATTCATCTAAATCCATTTACTAACTGCTTATCTTACTCAAACGAGCATCATGTCTTGTCTCTAACGTGAAACAATGTTTGTAAATATTTATTTATTGTATCAGATGTTGTTGTGATGGAATGATGATTGTAATATCCCTATTGCTCTTTCAGAAATCTATATTATTGCTCTTATTATTCTTTTATCTTATTTATTTATAAATTTCCTTCCATATCTTCATACTTTCAGAATTTTTCTTCGTTACTCTGCTCTTTTTCAAGAGCTTTGAAAAAGGGAAGGGGATAAGAATCCATCATGATTTATAATATCAATTTAATTTAATACTTTCCTTTTTTAAGCTCATGGAAATTTTTCTTTTTTTTTATTCTCTCTCAATTCACTTCATCTTTCTTTATTTTCCTTTATATTTTATTATATTTTCTTCTCCGGCGACATTCTCATCATCCGAAAGTAAATAAAGTGGAAGAGATTTGAAATTCTATTACATACAGTTTGTAGGACAACTTTCAATCTCACAAATATATATCTCCTTTTTAACTCAATTTTAAGAACGAAATATCTTAAAAGTTTCAATTTGACTGTACGGCTGAAGTTTTGAAATTATTTGGATGCTTAGGAATGGAAGTTGTGTGATCCCAAATAAAATTGTTTTTTTTTACGAAAGTTTTAAGAATTCATTTTAAAAAGACATTATTTACTGATAAAATCAAAGAAGTTGTTGATTTGAATGTGTATAAATCTAGTTCCTCAAATCAGAATTAAACCAGATTTTATTAAACAAAAAGATAAATATGTGAATTGTTTAAAATTAAGATTTTACTTTCAAGCGGAGCTCGAAGTTGACTTCAGTTGACTTGAGTCGACTCTGGTTTTTTTCGAGTCAACTCAACTTTTCTCGAGTCGACTCGACTTGAGTGCAGTTGTGCAGTACCAGCAGTCGACTTCTCCATACAAAAAAATTACCGAGTTGACTCTAAGTCAACTCGAGAAAAGTTGAGTCGACTCAGTTTTGAGTCGAGTCAAGTCAACTTAATTCTACTCAAACCCTATCGAATTCGAGCTCTGCTTTCAACCATTGCATAAAACCTTAATATATTTGGTAATCAGCCAGAAAGAAGATTTAAACAACGGTTTCCATTTTACTCTGATAAAGAATATCCTCAAATTGATAAAACTGATTCGACTAGAAGCGCTTAAGATCTCTATCGTATGATCAAAATTGTCTACATATCCTCTTTCGTTTTCATTGGAAAGATGAAATAGAAGAGAATGAAATCTTAAAGAAAAACAGGGAAATGACTTTAGTCAATTTATTTCAATGGATAAAAGGAAATAAGAAGAATAAGTTAAAATATATTCAGTCAATCCATTATAATTCTCTTCCGTCTTTTTTTTCTTTTCTAAGTAACTATACATTCACGATGTATTTTCTCTCCTTTATTTTCGTTGAGTGGATCGAGGAAGAGAAATGGAAAATTATTTCTCATCCTCCTCCTTCCTATCCTCTAACATCGATCTTCATATAGGAATTTTTTTCTTTTGAATTCTCATAAATTTTTCTCATCATTTTTATCTTTTTTTTTTCTTCTTTTATATGTATCTGGTTGGTTCTAAAGCTCTATTTTCATTGATTGGCGATGAAAGTTAGTACAGAGAGGGGGTTAAAAGGCAAAATCAAGTATGTATGTATTACTATTATTATTTTAATAATTTTTTCTTGTGTAATCTGTTATTTTTCTATATTTTTATGCATAAACACGAACGAATGAATGTGAAATACTGGATAAAAATGGAGATGGGTGCAGGGTTAGGAGATGTTAGAGGATAGGTAATAGCAATACTTATGTTATGCGCTATCTTTTTGACTTTTTAGCCTTTCTTTCCTCATTCGACCTATTTTTTTGAAGATAATAATGCGATGTCAATACATCATTATCACAATATTCATTATCGTCATCATTATCTTCACCATAAAATTTATTAGGTTGCAAACTCTTTATAGACTTTGAATTTCCGTATTTTTTAGCAAAATTTTTATTGGCTTTTGCCTCAAATTCACTTGGATTTAACGTCGATAATGTGTTTGCAGCAGAATTATGATTAGATTTTTTAAGATTGTGAAATGTCGTGTGCTGAAAGCTGTTTTGTGGTGATTTATTAGCGGTGTTCGTGTGTTGTGCAGTGCAAGCAGTTGTATATTGTTCGTGTTCTGATTGCAGTGCTTCATTGTGTAATGAATGCTGATCATGATAGTAATACAAATTGCTTTTTGCACTCAAACTGCTAGCATTTGTGCTTTGCTTATTTGCTTTAGTTTTATTCGATATTATTAATTGGTGATCTTGGTGATTATTTGTTGATTGTGTTGCCGATGAAGGCGACGTTGAGCGCTATGCTACATGGTTGCCAAATGTCCGTAGAACGGGCATCGTCTGTGGGCGAAAATTCGAGAAAATTGAGAAGAAGAAGAAGAGAAAAGCAAGATACTAATGAATGGAATGGACATTTTTTTTGTACATATTTACAGAAAAATGAGAAATAATAAAATCATTGAGAAAGTTATAAAAAAGTAATTAAAACCATAATAAAAAAGTCATTTGGGACAATGTAATCTCTGCATGGCACTTTTTGTATTGTCATGAATTTTTAATAAATATATTTTTGGATTATTTTTATATCGATTGGTTCTTGAAACAATTGCATCGAACAAAGGCTCTTTAACAGCTCACTATATGTACTTTCTAAATTATTAAGTTGTTGTTAATGGGGTGTAAAAGCTACCTACTCTTAATTTGTATTTTTTGGAATTATTGCTAAGGTGTGTGATCTATTTAACAGTCTATACTTTATGAGGTAGATAATTTCGAAATTAATTCTCGAAAAAAGAGTTTCAATTAATTTTTAATTTTTTTTTGTTTCCCAACTTCTATTCTGACCATCTTTAATAACTTTGGCATTGAAGGTCCTTAATTTGTGTATGAATTTCGTGTTTTCAACCCACAATATAAAGTCTCGTTTTCAATAATGATTTCAACCTCAATTATAATTATCAGATATAATTTTAAAATTCTATGCAATTGCTTCAATATGAGTAAGAGTATCAAAATTATATCAATAAATTTTTACATTTCAGTTTGTTTCTTTTTCGTATTTTTTGTTTAGCATTTAATAATTAAGTAATCAAAATTAGGAATGCATAAAAGAAAAACTTGCGAAAATATAGCAAACAAATAAACGAAACCTAATAAAAATATTAACATTTGTTTAGCTCATTTAAAAGCAAAAAGGGAAATAAGAGGCAAAGAAAAATTATATCCATAAATATGAAGAGCCATAAAAAAAGTATAGTAATGAAAAGCTCATGAACAAAATGCTTCAAAAATTTCTCTTTCACAACAGAAAATGTAAAACTATAACAGAAGGAAAACTGCAGTTAAACATGCAACTTTTGCAAATAATGGGTTCATTAAAAAAGCTTTGCAAGATCCATAAACAGAACGTAAATTAAATGTTGTTGTTTCTTGTTTGTATACACATTTTGATTGTTTGGATTATAGTAACAAGTAAACATTCTTGCTTTACATTATTCTTTCTACTATTACCATTCGTTGCTAATTGATTATGAATCAATTATTTCTGTGCTTAATTTCGTATAATGATGCTAATAAATTAATAATTTTATTACTACGAGTAGTATGCTAATGGCTTTAATTATTAGCACCTCAGTTTTAGTGTCTAACATTGAATTAAAACGACAACATTAATTTTGAAAATGTTTGCTAATTTCTTAAGATATTGCATATTACAAAGTGAATTATCTAATAATTATTGAAAGTTTAAAGAGGTGCTGCTATAAAATACATATAAAATCTTAAATAATTTGAAGGATGTTGTCTGCTTTATCATGTCAAAATATTATTTTGGAAAAATCCTTTACTTAAAATTTTAGCTCTGAGCCTTGATTGAATTCACACTAATTTTATACTATCCAAGCAGGGGGGGGGGGGGAATTTTGCGTTCTTGTTTACTACGATTGAATTTGATGAAAATTTTAAAATGAGGGGGGGGGGGTCTAAAGTGTTATAATAAAAAAATTGGGTTCTTGTTTACTGAGATTGAATTTGATGAAAATTTGGGAGGCAAATTATTTCATTATTGCAAATTATAACGGTTTTCAACCTATAACATTAGCAAACGTGTTAGCAACTATAAATAACAACTCTGCGTTTAAGCAAATCTTTTTAAAAAGTTCAATCATTGTCATGAATATTACGATATTGCTATGCAGCACATCTTGAATATCTCTTGAGACGCATAAAAGGTATTAGATAATATACAAGCTCATCCTACATAATCTCAATAAGTTCAATAGATGTAAATGTCATAATCAATTGCCTTCAAATAGTATTCAAATTCATGAGCATTATTGAAAAACACCTGCTATGAGATGCTTTTTATCCAAAAACATATTGTAATGGATTTCAAAAGAACTTTTCATTCTTTTCATCAATAAATTCTCTTTACATGCGCTCGTCAAGTCACAAATGTATGTAAATATTTTTTCAAGGTATGCAAAAATGCGATAAGAAAGAAATAGAAAGAATATTGTCAAAGCTTGGTGAGGTCTTTTTTTATTATATTAAATTTTGCTTTAGAGAAGTGCTTCAAATAAATAAATAAAAAAAATACAGCTCAAGGATGCAACAGAAAGAAAGGGAAAAAGATGTGAGAAAAAAAGGAAAAAAAGGAAGAAAAAAAATTTTTGATGAAGAAACACAAAAAAAAAATATTGTGAAAATAAATGCCAAATATGCACAAGCAAGCAAAAAAATTATATTTGTTGTTGTTGCTGTTGTGTAACAGAAAGAAAAAATATTAAAAAAATAATGAAATGCAAATGCAATGAGAGAAAACAAATTTTCCATCGTGTACAGGTTTTCGCCCTATAATGCAAAAATATAATCTCTGGTAGAACTGTTTACATTTAAATATTTTTTTTAGAAAGTGTGCAAAAAATTTCATTTAAAGTTTTTTTTGGTTTAGTGCAAAAGCTTTTTCTTTTAGTGGATTTATAATAAAAAAAATCTTTTTTTACACAGAAAATCAGTACAATTTTTTTCGTGGTATAAAAAATTATTTTTGTGTGTGCATATATATAAACTTGGTATTAAAAATATATATTTTATGGTGTATTTATGCTAGTTGGAGGAATGTCAAAGACTCTGGCTGCAGTTCAATTATTTCAATGAAATGTTGAAATTCCGCAGATTTTCATTTCAATATCCGAATATGTAACCGAGAGCTTTAGTCTTTTTTTTTGATACAGTAGTTCTCTTATACATTTAATAGAGATTTTTTGTGTATATTTTCACATTCGATATATGCACAAAAACTATTTTAAATACATTGGTGAGAGTGATTGAAACATAAAAATTCTATTCAGGATTTTTTTTATGAATATGTAAATACTTCAACATTTTTAGCGCATTTTTGCAAAATTCAAGAGCTTTTTGTTGACTTGGTCTTATTTTATTTTTAATAATCATTTCTGCATGCCTAATTCTATTTATTTCAATGGATAAATTTATATAATTTTCAAGGATTAATAAGTTTTTAAAATAAAGTTGAAAAATTTGTCTAGAGGCAATAAAAAAACTAAACTTTCGACATATTAACGCCTGTTGAAGCTCCTAAAATGTGCAAAAATGCGCCTTTTACAATTTACGTGTAGAACCTTACAAACTTTTTATACTGTAAACTTGCATGGATCCAAATCTCTAAAAAAAATATAATAAAAAGCACAAAATGTACTCCAACTTTTTGGTTCATGGTTGGAAATTTCGTCTGTATTTTTCAATATCCATTAATTAATTGAAAAGTTGAAGCACGTTCTTTTTTTTTTTTTGCTATCAATACATATTAATTTAGCGAAGTATTAAAAACGTGATTTCTGTAGAATCATATTTTTTTTTGTTGCAAAACACATAAAAATCATCAATAAACGTAGTAAAACACTATAAAAAAAATATTAATATATTTTTCTTCAATAAAAGGTATAAAAGGAACATATTCATTCACTATTTGCAAATATAAAAATTCAGTAATTTTGGAATTTTCTGTTCACACTTTAAATCTCATCAAACTTTATAACGTACGGATGTCAAATATATTTAATGTTTCAACATTCAATTTTAACTTATGGAAGACAAAGTTTATTTCGAAAAAAAAATTATTAAGTGAGTGGCAAATACTAAAATTTAAACTGACTGACTTTAAGCGAATAAGAGATTGATTATGTTTGTGTTAAGAAATTTCATCCACCCGTTAATTCCCAAACAAGGTAAATATTTACCTTCAAAACTTTATCTTTTGTGCTTTGAAGTACATAAATAATGGATCATAAATTGTTCCTAGTTAAGTCCAACAGATATAAATTTTACTGTTTGCATTAAAGGGTTATGAATAAATTTATGTTTTGAGGAGCATATGCCTAAGGAATAAGTCTTTGATAATCGCAAAAGCTCTTTAATAAACTAACTCTTGATTAATGGGCAAACAAGACTACATAAACATTTCAAATATTGAAAGGCAATTATTGATTTTGAAAACGCAATTTCCTTATTAAATATAATCATGAATATCCTCTAAAGAAGACCGAATGTGCACAGTAAATATTAGAAAAAAAATTTGAATTTAATTGGATGGGATGGCAAGGTTTAAAAGCTTAAGAGTTGCTTATCTACAAACTTTTAATTAGGTACAATCCTTCAACTTTTGTGAGTTTTAATTAGATTAAGAAAATTTGAAGCACTTTATTTTTCAACTTAACTTACGATTTCTTTATCTTTTTAAGAAGTAACATTTATTGAAAAGTTTTCAAAGAAATTTTATTTTAATTGCCAAGTTTGATTCATTTAATTCAATTTGCTTGTAAGATTGTCATAATTTGAATGTTCTTTTTTTTTTTTGTTGGAAATTAGCTTTTTACATCTTTAAGGCCTTCTGACTTTTAAAATATTGCAAAATTAAGGAAAATGAAAATTGCAAATTTAATTCTGGAATTTTTTTTAAAATTTATTGATTTTTGTGTTAAAACATTTGACGTACTTTGGATTATTGCAATTACCGTAGTCCAATATAAAGCGTAATAAAAATGTATGTAGTTCAGTTATAAATATCCCAACTAAAACAGCTCTCATTAACTAATTCCCATATCATTTGATAATTATTATTGCCATTCAATTGAGAATTAAAAATTGCAAAATTCTAAATGGAGTTTTTAAATCAGTAATTATTATCGATTAGACACTAGTGCATATTATGTGAATGAAACTTATAATTGAAAATTCCCTACTTTTCTATCTAATTGCTCATTCCAAAGAAACATGAACTATTAAAATAATAAATAAGTCTTCCCAAACTCTTATCATAAAAATATCAAAATTGATTTAACACAAACTTACAGCAAATCTCTTTTTCTAAGCACAATCATTTGCCATTCGAAAATAATTATGAATAAGGAAGTTTTTATTTTTATCATAACAAATGAAACAGAAAAGATAGTGAACAAGAAAATTATAAATTGTATGGTGCTATGAACTCTCAAAAAAGATGTTAATTCATTTAATAATTCAGGTGCAGTCAACATTAACAAATACACACACACACGCATAAAAACAAAGTATTATGATATTGAAAAGATCAATAATTTATTCCATATGAATGAGAATCCTTTAATCCTTTCTTGCATTAGATGAAAATCAATGATGAACTCAAAGGAAATTTAACATTTTGTGGATAGAAATAAATGTTGCTTGAATTTTATCATAATCATCAATATGTTTACCAAAAATTTACCATATAGATTGTGTATACTTAAAACATAGTATTTAAGGAGCATAAGTTATGTATATCGATGCATAATAATTAAAGAGAGATATGTATGCAGATCAGTTAGATACTAAATGCTTATATAAGAAGTATTGTAGCATCCTTTTATCAGCTATAAAAACTTTTTCTACTTCATTCACATACGCAAAAAGTCAAAAGTAAAATTAAAAGGTATGAAAAGTCATATCACAAAATGGTGTAACATAAAAAGTAAGACATAAAGTTATTGGCGAAACAATAAATAAGGAACAAAACTAAGAACACAAAGAAGAAAAAAATAAATTTTAAATTTGAATCACGTGATTTTTTTCATCATTTCTTTTTATTCTTTAAATATCTTCAATTTGTTTTGTTATTCCTTAATCTTTTCATCTTAAAAAATGTTTCTTTCTTTTTCTCCTAAAATTAATAAAACTTAAAAATGAAAAATTATGAATACAATGCAAAAATTCATTAACTATAGTACAATCATATCTGTTAGCTTATAACTTTCGTTTTGCATTTTTGTCTTTTATTGTTACTTTTTGAAAGACATTCATTTTGATTAAAAAATTGATAATTTTGGTTCATGCTGAAATGTGTGGTTCTCTATTGGACTAAAACTAGCTTTTATTTGAAACAAAATGAGGAGCAATTAAAGTTGGATTCTATTTAAAAGTGTTCAACATCATAACTTTGAAAACTAACACAAGATTAAGAAACCAAAATAACACAATGAACATAACTTGATTTGGAGGAAAATCAATGTGATACTTGTGGATGCCAGCTAGATTGGCAGTAATTAGATGTCAACTCAGAAAGCAGACAGTCAATGTAGTATTATTAAATCATTAGGGGTTTAATCATTTGCCATGACTTTAGGAAATCAAAATAATTATTGAAAAGTTTTCTTTACACTCAGTAATTATAAA